GTGACTTGCATATAGAGAGAGATGTCAATATGTTTGGGCCATAAAATAGCTTGCACTTAGAGAATAAAGAACTTGCAATTATATTATAAGTCCCAACACGGGACCAGACTATTTAATTGCATTTAGAGAAAAGTTGCACTTAGAGAGGTTGCACTTAGAGGGAGTTGACTGTATCATGAAGAATCGAATAATATTAAATGCATATGTGCATTCAATAATGTATTAATCAATAAAAACCTTTTTTTTATGTATATAGTGCGAAAATAGAATAAATCATAAAACATCATTTTATTAAAAAAATCGGGCGTTACTTTTGCCGCCTACTGTGCGTACGTTGCAAGAGGTCAATAGTTCCTCAGCAATCGGATTATTGACCAACAAAATTTGGGTACGAAATCGAAAAAGGCGTGCTGGATTTGGCGAGTGGTTAATAAACGAATGCATGTACTTTATTATTTAAGTAAAGCGGGCGTTATTCTCCCCAAAGGCCAGCAGGCCTTTATTTTATTTTATTTGCAAAAGCTACCTATACTGCCATTACTGCCTATAATTCCAACAATGCCCTTATTGACAAAACGCCATTACAGCTGTTTTCATAAATTCTGAGACACCTAAAAATTTTCTCGGTTTTACCTAGCTCTCTGGAAACTACATCGCTATTTTCGAACCTTCAGTTCGGAGACAGCAATGTAGTTTCCGGAAAGTTAGGTAATTTACCGGGCGAAACCGAAAAGATTCCGGGAAACGAGAAAATTTTTAGGTGTCCCAGAATTTATGAAAATGACCGAAGTCACAAGGCACGTGCCTGCTTCAGGTCACGTTTCGGTCTCACAATGTACGTATGTACGTACGTACGTACGTACGCACATGCATTTGTGAATTCACATATTATGAGTTGCAGCTTAATAATTATCTCTAATCATGAGTTCGCATCACCATCACGATAAATCTTGTTCTCACGACCATTCACTATATGCTCAAAATTTGGACGAATTAGATTTTCAAAGATCAATACATAATGCATCTTCAACTGGTAATATTTCACAAGTAAGAACAATTATTTCAAAGAAAGGTGGCGTAGTAGTGAATCAAATTGATGCTGCTGGATATACTCCTTTGGTATTTAAAAATACTTTTTTTTTTATAATTTGACGATGAGAATTTGTTGAATTTTTATTTTTAACCATTTATATAGCATTACGCAACTCGAAGCGGTAATCTAGAAATATGTCGTCTTTTACTGGAACGTGGAGCGAATGTAAATGCTGTAACTCCAGAACTTTTGTCAACTGTACGTATAATCTTTTAGATATTTTAAAATATTATCTATTTGACATATTTTTCACTTATATAATTTATAAATTATAAATTAAATTTAATTAGCCACTTCACCGTGCTGCTATTATAAATAATTCGGAAATAGTTCGCCTTTTATTGTCATATGGTGCTAATCCAAAGCTAAAAGACTCTGATGGTCATACGCCATTAGACAAAGCTCGTAAAAATGGATCTGAGGATGTAATTTTAATTTTGAAAAAGTCTGATGAAACCGATTAGATTTCTTGGGATTTATTAAGTTATTCTTTAACACAATAATTCGTTTTGAGAAAAAATTCGCAGGCCTAGAATCTTAGCACATCAGCTTCGTAACACAAATCATCTGACCCGATTTGTACTACATATTTTTTGATATAAAAAAAAATTTTGCGATTATATTGACTTGAAGGATCGGATTTATGATTTACAATTTTTATATTACATTTTCTTAAATTATTATTCGAATTTCCATCCAACTTTAAATTGTAAGTTTATATAATCTGAATAAAAAATGTTAAAATTGTCGTTTGTATTTCCGGGTTAAATAGTAATAAAACTAATTCATTTACATTTTCATAATTTCGTGTGCTATGATGGTATGAAGATCCCAAATTTCTTTATAAATCAGATCCAATAATAACGGCAAAATTTCTTTTAGGCTTTTTTTTTCAAAAATTCCAATTTAATTATCTTGATTAACCTCATCGACTGCAAATATCAAGCGTCAAATAGATCCATCGTAAACTTATCGAAAAATGTTACCAAAGGTTTCAAATGAATTCACAAGTATTGGATGTAATAGAGTTCCACAAGTTGCAGCTTGGGGTAAAGATGGAATGGTTGCATTTGGGGCTTACAATTATGTGGCTTTATATTATCCTGAGGTATATATAAATATATGCAGCTGATGATGTTTAATTTAAGAAAGTAAGATAACTAATGTGTAAAGGTAGCGAATGAAGCAATAATAATAATAATGAATTTTTGTTAAACATGAATTTTAAATGATATATTTATTATTAGGATCCAGAATGCCGAGGTATTATTTCTACACTTACAGGACACAAAGATCGAGTGAATTGTGTTGACTTTATATATAGAGGTAAGACAAACTATAAGACAAATCACTTATGGCTTATTTTTCTGTTGATACTAATACTATCTTGCCATTAGGGAATGAATTAAATCAGATAAATGTCGCAATAATATCTGGATCAGTTGATAGAACTGCTAGAATTTGGAAGCTAACTAAAGATAAAAAAGTAAATATCATCCTTCATTTTGTACTAGAATGTAATAACTATTATTGGTAGAAATAACTATTGATAATTATTAGTGGGTAAATTCGGCAATTTTAGAATCTCACGGAGGCTCGATAAACACCCTTGGAGTAACTCGAGCAAAGTCAATTATTGTGGATAAGGACCTATTTGTAACTGGATCTGCAGATGGTGCTATTAAAGTTTGGGAAAGGAGTATTTATGATGATGTTCATGGTAAATAAATAATTTATGATTTTTTTAAAAAATTTCGCAGTTAAACATTCATTGATTCTTTTATAAATTGTGACAGATTCAGTAAAATGCTTACAAACAATCAATCTTGAAAAAAAGCATCCTATGGCCTTAGCCTTATCGTATTTACCAGAATCAAAAAGTATGTAAAATTTATTTGTAGAGATATGAATTTTTAAATTAAAATAATGCGTTTAAAATCGAAGATTTCCTTAATTAGTCCCAATATTGGCATGCGGAAGTACAGATAAAAGGATACTATTATATGTTCAAAAGGATGGGCTGGTAAATAAATTATCATATAATCATTTGCTTACTGTCCATTTAAGCACTTTACACGTTATCATACTATTAATCTTAGTTCATTCCATCTCTAACACTTCAAGGACATGAAAATTGGATTAGATCACTATCGTTTGCTACATACACTGAATTACCTTTATCAAACAGCACCATCGTTTCATCTGCATCAGATTCAACCATTCAAGAACAATATAAATTAAAAGATGGCGATTTATTATTAGCAAGCGCATCACAAGATAAATATGTAAGATTATGGAGAGTTTCGTATAATGGTGAGGTTAGCGGTCCTTTGGATAGTGAGGAGATTACAAACGGAAAATCGAAGGAAAAAAAAAGTTTGAGAGAATTGCTAGAAAATCTGCCAGATGACACAATGGATACACTGTATGTTTTTTTTTTTTGACTAATCCTGGGCTTGTGTTATGTACATTAATATTAATTGTCTCTATTTACATTTTTTAATTTCACATAGTTCATTCGACAAAAAAGTACAGTTGCATACAAAAGCTCATATAATAGACGTGGATTTGACATCTATTAAGTAAGATGAATTCATTATTTATTTCGAATACACAAAACTATTTACTTATATTTATGATTAGAAAAAGATATTCTGTAATGTTTGAAGCATTACTTATGGGCCATGATGACTGGGTATACAGTGTTTGCTGGCAACCTCCGACTTCTATTGTGGGTGTGTTTGGAAATTTGTTTGCTATAATAAAATGCATACATTTAGTATCACCTTTTCTGTATAATAATGGCTTAATTTTATTATAGACGAAGAAGGAAATGCTAGATATCATCAGCCGATGTCAATTCTAACTTCATCATCCGATAAATCAATGATGATTTGGAAACCTGATCAGGAAACTGGCGTTTGGGTGAATTTGGTAAATGTTATTCTAGTTTATTATTTAGATTATATATAGGTTAAATTTTTAACAAATTTACCTACAATTTTAGGTTCGAGTCGGTGAAATTGGTGGATATGCCTTAGGATTTTTTGGAGGATTATTTGGCCCAAAAGGAAATCATATTCTAGCTCATGGCCATACCGGTGCTTTTCATTTGTGGAAAAATTTGAGTAGTGACCATGGTGATTTATTTTCATCTTGATTCTTCTTTGAAATGAAACGTTTGTTTTTGATTATTCTAAATATTTTTACATACCAATGTATAAAAATATTCACATCTAAGATTGGCAACCTCAGGTATCAATTAGTGGATGTTTTAATTCTGTACAAGATATTACGTGGGATCCGACCTTTAAATACCTTGTTTCTGTAAGGTACATATGTTATTTCTTTTATAATTTTATTTTCTACAAATTTTTCATATAACCTATTGAATAAACTCTTTATAACTATATTCAGTCTTGATCAAACAACACGTTTATTTGCACCTTGGATCAGACAACTTGATATTGATCAAAAGGAAGGTGCACAAGTTTCAGAAAAACAAAATTCTATAGTGACAACGTGGCATGAGATTGGAAGACCTCAAATTCACGGATATGATATACAGTGTATTGCTTTCGTTAACCAGTGGAGATTTGTTAGTGGTGCTGATGAAAAGGTAAATAAATATTATTTAAGGGTTGACCAATAAATTGTAATTCACAAAAGCTAATAATATTTGTATCTAATCTTTGGATAATTAGATATTACGAGTATTTGATGCACCAAAAAATTTTATGCAATCATTATCAAAATTATTAGGTGAAGAAGTTTCAGGAGAATTGGTTAGTCTATCTTTTTATCCAATATCCCCTTCATATTCATATTTTTAACATTCAAACTCATAAATTTTAAAGGAATCCCGTCCACTAGGGGCAAATCTGCCACCACTTGGATTATCTAATAAAGCAATTTTTAATTATGATGTTGAAAAATTATCAATTCCAACTGAAGATGATGAATTATTAATTCGACAACAGACATTCACAGAAACTTTAA